CTCTCTGCCTACGGTTTACCGGGCAGTTCTATTTGACGATATATATATATATATATATATATATATATATATATACAGAGAGAGAGAGAGAGAGAGAGAGAGAGAGAGAGAGAGAGAGAGAGAGATTGGGGCGAGAGGCCATGCCAGCATTCTGTCAAAGTCAGAAGGCTCTACATCTGAATCCAGTCCCCTAGACCCAAGTCCTACTTGCCGAAATTCTTTATTTCTCACCGTCCATCTCTGCAATCTAGGGTCAGAAATGAAGGATAAGGGTTAGCGGGACTCTACCCCCAATCCGGCATCTGCATCTTCTCCCTGACGAGACGTTTGTTATAATGACCTGAAAAAACCCTGAAAATTTAGGGCTCTGTTAAATGACCCTGAAAAAACCCTGAAAATTTAGGGCTCTGTTAACCGCTTCTCCCCTGACATAGCCCACAGCAACAGAAAGTCAAGTTTGACCTTATATACAAAATTTTACATAGGCTTGAATTTCAGTTATTCCTCTTCCCTCCACTTAAAGCCGTTCCTTCAGAGCAGGCGGGCCACCTGGGCCATCTTGGGCTGCTCAGGTGGCCCCGCCGACCAACTTGAGGTACGGGTGAAGTCCCCGACAAGCTCCCTGCAAAAGAAAAAGAAAACGAACGATCCCGAAAACAAACGACTTTTGCTTGAGGGTCACTCCAAAATTCTTTACCAAATTGGGAACAAAAAAGAAAATTGGAAAATAAAACCGTATTGGGTCCAGAGGCTCCGTCTATTGGTGGGGAGCAGCACCTGCTGGAAACCGGGTCCAGCGTCCCATTTACAAGGCATGTAGATAGAATATAGAAAGGGCTTGGAACAAGGGCTCGTGAGACTCTGAACTCCACCAGCATTGATTGCCCGGGGAAAACCCTGGGGATTAACTGAGTGGACTACTTCTGACTAAGCTTAGGGTCACTATTTGTGGCGTGAAGATTACAACAGAGTCACCCTGGGCCCTGGAGGGGCACCGAAGGCCTGGGGTGGTGCTTTGCCGTCTATCATGGTGAGAGGACAAGGGCTATACTGCATCAGAGGGCATCAAGATGTTGGGGAGCAAGGTAGGGCAGGATTGAGTAAGGCCACTGCCCTCCAGAGTCTAACGCGTACCAACACACAGACAATCCAGGCAATCATGGTNATCAGGATGTTGGGGAGCAAGGTAGGGCAGGATTGAGTAAGGCCACTGCCCTCCAGAGTCTAACGCGTACCAACACACAGACAATCCAGGCAATCCAGGCACACCCATGCACAGACATACAGGTTAATGTCGACAGTCTAGCGGGTGTCCCAAACGAGTCGGCCATCCGCCCCTCAGTCTATCGCCTGAATCAAGGAAAGCGGGTGTGGCGGGAAAGGATCAGGGAAGTCTGATGGGGGGGCGGAGCAGAAAGGAAAAGGTTCGATGGTCAACCAGTCGTTGAAGATGAGGCGGCAGTCCCTACATTCTGCCAACCCTGCCGCTGCTGGTCCTGGATGTCCCGGGCGCTCCAGTGGTCCCCGGCGGCGGCCACTGTGGTATGCAATTTTTTTGTTGTTCTTACATAATAATCATAAAGAAAAAGGAAAAAAGAGACACGCCAAGACAGTAGTCACACTACATTGCCTACCTTCAATTTCGCAGGTGAACCACATTCACCCCTTAGATCCTCTGCACCCTGAGGAGGAGGAGGAGGAGGGGGAGGAGGAGGAGGAGGAGGAGGAGGAGGGGAAGGGCCTTGCCTCTTCCACATGAGGAATAGACTGAATATTACATAAGCTGCCCTCTCTGCTAACACCACCACCGCCACCGCCACCACCAGCAACAGCACCACCACCACCACCACTAAGCTTCGATCCAAGCAACATCTTTCATCCTCTCCCACCTCGACCAGTTCAGACAGCACTGATCCAAGCAGTGAGTTTTGTGTTGTAGCCACCACACCTCTCTTTGACGACCATGGGTTCAAACTTCTGGTCACAGCACACAATTCTTGACTCGTATCAACAATTAAGCCACCAGTACTTGGCCCAGCTATCGGCGGCGGAAAAAATAGAGTAGAAACGTTTCCAGTCGGATGAACTTGGGCGCTCCTTTAGTGGCCCGTACGTTTCCTAGTTGGCTGCACCCGTGCACCGGCGGTTTAAAGCACCAGTTCACCCAAGCCTAAGTTGTGCTCTTACCGGTATATTACGTGGTAAGAGCTTTTCGATCGGGCCTGGCCGCCTGGGTAGGTAGTGAACGCGAAAGGCCAGTATGAAAAGTCCCAGTTGGCGGCTCGCGCGCTCCGAAGGTAGCTTCGTCAAGTTAGGCTGGCTCGTGTTAACCGGTGTTTTTATAACTTATGAACTGTACAGTAACAGTAGGAGAAAAAAAAGGAATGTCTGACAAGCCCCTGTGGAGAGGTTGCCTTGCCGGACTGCCAACATTGCTCTTCCAAATCACTTCTGCGCATGACACAGCGCTCCATCTCGATCTCCATCGGGTGAAGACGTCATCAAATAAGCCATCCAATGGCATCCATCACTTGTAGTGACCTCCTCATAAGCACACACAGCACTCAGCACCTCCATCTATGTGCGTCCAGATGCACATTCTGCACCTTGGCATGTCTGCAGGTCACAGTGCATTCCGAAACAGGCCATCCAATGGCATCGATCACTTATAGTGACCTCGTCAACAGCACACACAGTATACTCAGCACCGCCATCTACGCACGTCCAGATGCGCATTCTGCACCTGGTCGTGTCTGCAGGTCGTAGTGCATTCCGAAACAGGCCATCCAATGGCAACCATCACTTGTAGTGACGTCCTCATCAGCACAGGCAGTACTCAGCACCTCCATCTATGCGCGTCCAGATGCGCACTCTGCACCTGGGCATGTCTGCAGGTCGCAGTGCATTCCGAAACGGTATGACTCAACTCAGTTTTGTCCATTTCCTCTTCAAATACAAGCCTTTATGATGTTTATAAGTTATAACTTTATGTATCTTCCGATAATCTGCGGCCATTTCTTGTAGCATGTTGCATTTATTTCCCTTTTCTGAGTTTTTTTCACCCTAATCCGTCTCAGAGTCAGATCCTGTGGCAACATGACATAGGCCACCAGACAGACCTCTTCCTCAACTCCCCTTTGAGATCATATATTCACAGATGCATATGCACATTATCATACATACAGTCCGCATTCGTCCCACAATTTTCAATTCTGAAATTTGGCAGAAGAAGAAGAAGAAGCTAGCTTTGACTGCTATCTCCAGCAGCAACTTGATATTGCAGACAGTGCAGTGCAGAGTCCTGCTGCCCAGTTGTCCACCCAGAAGGAATCTGCAGTACCATGCATGATTCGTTGCACGTGGCACAGCCAGGAACATCTGTCATCGCTCCCGAGGTGACAAATTGACAATGTACCCTTCTTACTCTCCCTGTGGTTTAGATTTTGCCCTTGCGAATCTGTGTGCTGCATACCGCTGCTACATGGGAAAGGCCAGGGGCCCAGGGTCAACCTACCTCAACCATAGGTTTAAAACTTAAGACTTCAAAGGAAAAGCAACCTTGAGCATGTCCATCGAGGCATCCGTTAAAATTGCATGGCCTCTGCGCATGGATAACACGCATAAATCGATCCAAATAAAAAAAAAAAGAAAAAGGAGAGGAAAGAAACAATGATATTGACGTTTGCCCGTCGGCGGCGTGCAACCATGCATGCATGGTCAAGACAAGACATTTGGCTATCCTCGCCACCCAGTGGAAGGCCCGGCCACACAGCTCAACGAGCTGCAGACCCTGAAATTGCCCCGTCACACTCAAAGGCTAACGGTCCCCCCTGAGCCCGCCAGGCCCTCTTGAATATTGTCAGGGCGCAGGCTTGGTCTACATGCCCTCTGTGAGGGGTAAAACCGTAAAATCCTTGCAGATTTCCATTCCAAATAGATAAATGATCGTAACCGTCGTTTTCCAGATCGATGAGGACCGCTGCATGAGCCTCCGCAAGGTTACATAGTTTCTTTCCAGCCCTCGTTATGCTCATCGTTGTCAGCATCTCCCAGAGCATCCTCACACCTGGGGGGGTTTTGGCTGGAAGTATCAGATTCATTTCCAAAAGTCCTGCTACTCTGAGCATGCCCTCACCCATTGCGGTCTCTGTTGAAGACAACCTCTGTGGTCCACAGTTTCAACTTGTCGTCGAGATGGAGGAGAACAGGAAGAGTGTTGAAGTCGAACTTGCGCGCAAACATGAAGCACTCTCTCTGCAAACCATAAAATGAGCAATCGTTGGCGCCTCGTATCTTGTTCAGCAGCTCGCCGTTTACCTCAAACACAGAAAACAGGGTCGGATCGGCTCCCGTGTCGGTGGGCCGACGTGAGACATAGGTGAGGCCCCATGGCGCCAAATTGGCAGGGTCTTCAATATTTAGGAAAGTGGATATGTAATGCTCATCCGCATAGCAATTCTCTTTCTGGTTCACAATCACCTGACACCACATTTGAAATTTTTTGTACATAAGTCTGTCCCGGACAATCATTTTCGCATGCCTACGCGTCAACGTTATACATTGGTCCCCCTTGCAGAACGTTTCTCTCGTCACTTGTGGCAGCAGGATTGGCGAATAGCGACTGTCCCAGGTTGGATCTCTGTCTCTGTATCGTGCAAAACTAACGTTCATCGAGAACATGTAAGCCCAAACTTGTGGAAAGTTCCGGACAGGAACGCAGAACTCTGTCAAGAGAATAAAGCGATAATTGAGGGGATTCAGCATCGCTGTTGCGATCAACCGCCTCTCGGCATTCATCATAGACATGGTCCCAAGCGTTACAGGTTCGCTGCGTATCCTGTGGTCAGCAAACATTTGAGTAGCCGTGTCATCGGCTGCATAGTTGTACTGGAAGTCCGGATCGGCATGCACGTAGATGTTGTAGAAGTCCCCGTAATAGCGAAAGAATCGCTCCCAGATAGGCGCAAAGGGCATCGGCCCTCTTGTGAGAAACATGAATGCAATCCTCGGCCTCTCCCAAGTGCTAGAATGCACTCTGTCATCCTCGTCTGGAGCGTCTGCAGCTTGTGTCAGGAGTTGGACGTCAGCCTCCGAAAGACCGAGATCAGTCCAAGATGGAATGGGTTCCGGACGCGGCTGATCGGCATTGCCTCCAGGCGGCACCTCAGGATTTGCAATCGCAGCCGTGTTTGGGATATCCTGAGGCTGCTGATTGGAATTGCCTTCGGGCGGCACGTCAGGATTCGCAATTGCATCTGTGTTCTGCAACAATGCATTTTGTTCGCTGACATTGGTAGCATTCAGCTCCGAGCCCATGTCGTTCGCAGCAACAGTCGTCCCTGGCTGACCATCCACGGGCAACACCTTTCCATCTACACTGGAATCATTCGCAGGGGCAAAGGCTGTACGGGGGATCAGGCTCTCTAGAGCCCATGGGAAGTACTTTGGAGCAGTCTCGGCGGTTATATGCCATCCAGCGAAAATGAGCGGGACAGCAAAACCAAGTGCACAGACTGCAAAAACAATCAAAGAGATCTGCCCACCCGAAGCTTTCAGCTGCAATGTATTGGCAGTGCCAGGATGCACAGCACCGGGACCACCCACGTGGTCCGGAATCAACCACATCTTGTCCCACCGTTTGCGTGATGGTTCAACCAGAAGGTCATGCTGCCAAACAAGGTGGAAGGCTCATGCTAATCAACAGAAAGCCGCAGCGCAGGCCCGAGCGCAAACCTGTTGCAGAGTCTGCTTCAGGCTGCTTTGTCACAGAGAGTACTTGCACAGATTGCTCAAGCCTGTTTGCCACATAGAGCACCCGCCAGGGAGCGGTCAAAAGAATCATGGCATGTCGATGCGCTATGGTGCCATAGTAACCATGACTATAGTATAGATCCACAAGAGGTAGGGGATGCCAGTGAGCTATGGTGCCATGGTAACCATGACAACAGATCAACAAGAGGTGGGGGATTTGCTATGGTGCCATAATAACCAGGACTATAAAAATCCACAAGAGGTAGGGGATGCCAGTGTGCTATGGTGCCATAGTAACCATGACTATAGATCCCCAAGAGGCAGGCTATGCCAGTGTCATAGCAACCATGTCTATACTAGATCCACAAGAGGTAGGGGATGCCAGTGTGCGTGACTATAGATCCACAATATGCTGTTACAAACTTACAATTCAATAAGGAACCCTTTAAGTCCTTATCTAACCATATACCTCCCATAATGTGATCAGAACTTAGAAGCGAAGGAAGTATACCGTAACTAGCTGACCTGCAGCGAGTTGCCTGCTGCGAGGGGAAAAAAGCCGCCAGTACATCATCACCTGCTCGAAATGAGACCATAGCCTGAAATCAATGAAACCGATTGAAATCATACTCATGTGTGAGCAATACAGTGAGAATCGCCGCAAACAATGCTACTAGGATATCAACCTCATATGTGGACTCTGGAGGCATTTTCCAGCAGGTGCAGCTCCCCAGCGATAGACAGGAGCCATCCCCCAGCATGCTAGCGGTGTGCGCTCTTATCACCACCGACACCACAACTGGCGGATGCTCTATAAAAAAAAAAAAAAAAAAAAAAAAGAGACCCTCATATGTGAACAACACACTTGCAACCCCCTCAGACTAAGTCTAATAATAGCATTGCCACCTTCAGTGCCACCTTGAGAAGAAATCATATACCAAATACATTTCCTTTGCTGACTTCAGTAATTGCAAAGCTATGTATGACCCAAAAGGGAAAAAAGGAGAAACGACGCATATATGGCCTGAATCAAAAGATTTCAAACTGTCTGACCCCTTGTACTCTACATGCACACAAAAAACCATTAACATAAAAAAAAAGTGCAAAAGTGCAAAAAACATAAATGATAAGGAAACTGGTTTACTCTAGAGATGAGTAAGATGTGCAATTCCTTTGATGAACCCATACCTCCAGCAATAACCAGGCTCGCCAAGTCCCAGGGCTCGCTTGGAGAGACAAAAAGAAAAAGTGAGACAGTCAGAAGCTGGTTTCAATTGAGACTGGAAGTCTGTCTACTTTTGTCTTCCCCCAAATAAAATGTAGGGTTGGTTATCCCTTTAGAGCATGTATCAAAACTGAAAATGCCCCAAATACAGTTATACTGACCATATGTTCTATTCTAGAGGAAGACGGTAGCATGAACAGGCCCCAATACAGTTTGGTGTTCTGCCTCAGATGGACAGCGATGACCTGTGAGGAGGGGGACACAAAAAAAAGAGGAAACAAAAGAAGCCTAAGAAGGTGGCAACATACATCTGCCATTCCGCCACCGTCCAAAGTTGCAGATGACGTTCTATCGACCCCCCCTTTAGGGCCTTTACTCCTGTGCCAGGTTCTAAGCTGATGGCACTGAGGTCTGGAAGTCTGCCTGTCATGATGTCACTTTGTGTCTTTTTTATCCTTTTCTTAAAACGGTGGATGGTTGTAGCACTGTTGTACTGTTTGGGTTTCCTTGTTTTTCTTCTTTCTTTTTGGTGGTGCTGGTGGGTTGGGGATGGGGAGAGGATTGGGGGTGGGAATGGTTGTAGGAGGTAGCTTTTTTCTTGCACACCGGGAAAAAGCCCCATATCATTTGGCATAGGCGGGGTGGACAATCACAGTCCAAACTACGACAAGAAAGAGGAACTGGAAGCAGCCTTTAAACCACCAGTACCTACCGGTTGGGGCGGCCATTAGCGCGGAAGACGAATCGACCTGCCCCTCTGGTCCAAATTCATTCGAGGCCGGGGGGTACGAAAAATGCTGTAGGTACTGGTGGTTTAACCAGCAATACCTACTGCCAGGCTTCATCGCAACCATTCAGGAAGATAATTCGAATTTAAAGGAACACAAGTGGATGTCCGCCACGGCCACGCCCACGGCGTACACCTGCCCCATCTCCTCCACCCTCCCATCGCTTCGCCACCTCCTCCTCGTCCTCCTCCTCCTCCTCCTCCTCCTCCTCCTCCTCCTCCTCCTGCTGCTGCTGCTGCTGCTGCCCATTCTCTGCCAACTCCTGTTTGTCCTGCTCCCCCATCACCTTCTCCTCATCGTCGGCATGGTTATGGTAGCATGTGGACCAGGCAGTATTATATACCTGCGTGATGCTACGTGGGTTTGGATGGTACCATTGGATTGGGCAGTCGCATGTGCAGCGGCCCAGACTATGTGAACAGGATGGTACTAACACACGCACTCCCAAAAAAGAAACAGAAATGAGCACAGACATGGCCACAGGAACAAAAAATGGCCAACACCAGGCACAATTTGGACCTTGACAGGGCCAGACAGTACTATGCGGGCTGCGCGCTGTTGTGTTGCGTTGGTGATACTATACAGGTTGGGTTGTCCCATCTGGGGCGGGTCATGTGCATTGGGCAGTACCATGTGGGGCGGGTCCTACAATATGGACTGGGTCGTACTATTGGGCAGGGGGCACTATGTGGGCTGGCATGTACTGTGTGCGATGGGTGGGCTGGACGGCACAAACGTGCCCCCCCTCACTCCAAAGAAAAGAAACACAACGAAACCCACAAAACGCCAACCCCATTCAGCTGAATGGTACACCTATCAACCATCGAGACCTGAGCTCGAATCCCAGCAAAAGAACTCGAAAACAACTCTTACATCCTGTCTCCCTTTTTCCACACAGCCTGAAGCTCGTGCCGCTATTGCTGCCAATCCCCTCTCTACTGTCCATCCAGATTCCAAAATCATCCCCTCCGTACTTGCTATGCACTTGCTATGTACTTGTATTCAAACATTCAAGTCACGACTGGCCACCGCCAAATGAACCAAACACGGAATGTGATTTCCTCTGGATTCAAGCTCGAGTATGTATATTGACAGTTAAACCACCAGTACTTGGCGCAGCTATCAGCCGCGGAAAAAAATAGAGTAGAAACGTTTCTAGTCGGATGAATTTGGGCTCTCCTGCAGTGGGCCGTACATTTCCTAAAAGTGCGGCTTGTATACGGGCATGACTTTACGAAGTACTGGTGGTTTAATGGGTGTACCGACTGAGATCGGCCCGTTGGTACAGGCGCGACCATCCAACCCATGGGGGATACAAACCAAAAACGGGACAACGCCGCTGCGACAAGCTTAGGGCGATTTTCTTATTTTCATCTTCCCCCTCTTCTTTCCTTTTCTTCCCCTTAAAAGGGAGACGGCCTTGAGATATCACTGTCGAGTTGACCGCCCCAGGTAATTGTGAATTATTTCATATCATTCAATCAGAGTTCAGTTCATATCAGTCAATCAGTTCAGTTGGACTCAAACTCAGGTCTGTATTTCAACAGCTCATGGGTGTACCGACTGAGCTAGGCTCGTTGGTTCTTTTTATCTTTTATATTCAAGAAGAACAATTTTTATTTTGTTCTTCTGATTGAATCTTGATTCGAGCTTCGGTGTGTATTTCAGCAGTGCATGGGCGTACTTGCTGAGATAGGCCCCTTGATACAGCCGTGATGTCCCGAAAAGCCCAAAAAGGAAAAAAAAAAAGTGCACAAACACCTGTATCTGGACATAATGAACGAATCGGATCAAGACACATTCGGAACATCGGCTTTGGGTATGCTGTGGCAGGGCCCTGAGGCCAACCAAAAAGAAACAGAAGTGCACACGAAGAACATCCGCGAAATGGCACCACAAAGACCCCCCCCCCAAAGAAAAGGTGTGCGACTGAAGACTGAAGAACTTGGCTCTGCCTATCTCCATGTGCGACTGAAGACTGAAGAACTTGGCTCTGCCTATCTCCATGTCTCCGACCGATCCCACATCACATACCGTTTGTCGATTCAGCCAAGACCCCGAGAAAACATTGCATCGGACTCCAGCGGCCTGCCTCAATGGACCTCCCATGTGCCAAGCCTTTTTCCTGGGCCCACGGGAAGCGCCATGCAGAACGAATCGGAAGTCCCTTCCAGGGAGCCGGGCGGGGCCGCGGGCAGGGAGGTCGGCTAACGCAAAGACCGAGCATTTCACCCGTAGCTTCACCTCCCATCTACCCCCCCATCCAGTAGCGGCAGCAGCCATGGCCAACACTCTCTCACACACCAGCCACAACGCACTAACCCTCAGATTCACATCCGTGTTGGTCATAGACCTTGGCAACATGCATCCCCTGGATAGGCTTACGAGTAGCGGTAGCTACGCTTGCAGGGGTACCCCGGAAAAGGACAAAAAGTGGACCGGGGCCCATGCTGCAAAAAATATGGCAATGTATAGGGTGCACATGTTGTGAGGCCCACTGGCTGTGGCATCGCGTCGCCCCTATCGCAATATTCGAACTATTTGTGCAGGCGAAAAACTGCATGATGCTGGGCCCAGCGGGGAAAGTGTCTCGCGGGACAGCGTCATGCGAGGACCGCTATTTGCTTGAAGAAGGGAAGGGAAGGGAAGTATAGAGATAGAGATAGAGACAAGGGGCAGACCAAACAATACAGTCCCACGTAAACTAGCAGGATAGATAAGTGCAAAGAAGTGAGGGATCGAAGGTATTTGAATCATTTGAGGGTTTAGGGGTTAACAAACAGATTCCATGGATTTTCATATCCATATATAATCAACAAATAATATATATATACATATATATATATCGTCACAAATATATATATATATGTATATATATATATGTGCCGATAAACCGTCGGCAGAGAATATACATATATATAGTCAAACAGAGCTGCCCGGTAAACCGTAGGCAGAGAGGGAGAAGAGGAAAACAAACGAGAGGCTGTGGCAAACTGTTTCGTCGGAGTTTCACCGACTCATCAGGAGGCTGAACCCTAACAGTCTGCAGAATCCCCTAACTGATTACACTGTAAGTGATAATCCACCTTAACCCCAGCTGTGGTTAAGCATCAACGACTGCCCGACAACTGATACCCTGAGGTGGGCACCAACCACTGCCCTCAAGGTACCTATGGCGAAAGTCAAAGCAGACTATCACTCACCCACACCAGATGGAAAACTCTACAGACTGTCGGTTCACACCCCATCACAAGCAAGCAAAACACCCACAAAACAAAGAAAGGTCTGTCACAGCCAAAAAATACACTCCAGACACGCCGCTGGCACTAGAGGCACAGCATGGCCGCGTAGTGACGGCCCCTACCACTGCCGCTCGACCTGACCGGAGAATACCGTAGCAGGGTGCTAGCGAAGTCGTGGTATATATAGTCAAACAGAGCTGCCCGGTAAACCGTAGGCAGATATGCACATATACATAGATTTATACACACATGAAAGTATATGTATGCAAATACCAGCAGATTGAACACATATAAGTTGATATAACATTAAAATTCACCAATTTGACCTCAAACAAAACAAAGCTCAAGTAGGGTTTAGGGTTTAAGGTTGAGCCACATAGAATCCTGCCCCAAGGGTACAAAATTGAAATTGGTCTACATCTATAAGCATTTAGGATAGCAAGAAAAGGGATCAGAGGATAAGTTGAAAATGTGTAACCTTGGAATGAGAAGAAGCTAGGCTGAAGGATTTGCAGAAAAGGCCCTTGGACTAGCAGCCTAGAGTAATAGGCAGAATTTCTGCAGAACAGCTAACTTAGGCAGGGGTAAGGGGAGCACGGGGAGGCACACCCTTCCCACAGAAATCAATCAATGCCGCTGTCGCCGCCCACTCGGTCTCTCAACCATAATGGAGATAGGTGTCAAAATGTGTTCACAAATGTATTTCTTTTGACTTCCCGGTGGAATAGGGAACCGGACTGATGCTCCCCAGAATGGATATGGCGCCGGGGCCGTAAGGCTCTGTTTTCTTTTTGTTGTTGTTGGTTTTTAAAGGAAAAAAGGGGGGCAGCATCCATTTTCATAGGGCCTCCAAGAAGCTGAGGTCCAGGCCTCCCATCCAAAGAAACAGCTTCAAACTTCACCTCCCAGGCTCCCACAACTGTTTGCCCTGGCCTTTCAAAAAAAAAAAAAAAAAAAAAAAAAAAAAAACAGGAACGAGTTAAGAAAAGGTAAGGTCTTGGCTGCCAGCATTGTGATAGTAGGCCAACAACAAAGAGTTGCTGAGTGCCCAGAAAACCGACGCCGCCAGGGGTTGCGAAAAACAAAAGAGGCCGCCCGCCGTATAGGCGGCGAGTTTTCTTTTCTTTTCGGCAAGGCTGGGGCCATGTACTGGCGGTTTGAAGCACCAGTTTTCCCAATGCTAAGTAGGGATCTTAGGAGCGTCAACTCGANTTTTCGGCAAGGCTGGGGCCATGTACTGGCGGTTTGAAGCACCAGTTTTCCCAATGCTAAGTAGGGCTCTTAGGAGCGTCAACTCGATCTGGAACGCTGAAGTTCCGGTTAGCCGATAGAGCCCGACCTGTCCTTTTAATCTTAGTAGACTAGTAGTTATAGGATAGCACATACGTAGGGCTAATTGTGCATAGACTATAAATAAATTTAGGGGTCAACTAAATCTGCCTTGCAGAGAAGGGGTAAGAACACGACCAGGGCACTTGGTCATTATCCGCCGCAGTAGGCCACCTTCTTTGAGAGTGTCAGCTTGATGAGCCTTGATCTGGAACGCCGGACGTTGCTGTCGGCTGATAGACGCTGACCTGCCCTTCTATTACTCTTTGTAGTTATAGGATAGCACATACTTTGGCTAATCATACCTCAATAGCTTTCTAGGCTGATACGGGTTTTGGTTTTCTCCTTTGCTTGCCTCTTGTTTCTGGCATTAGGGTTTAGGGTTTAAGTCTTGGTTGGGTTGTCCTTGATCCGATTGATCGTTCTTTTCCATGGTTGGTTTCGTTTCTTCATTGGCTTTTGGCCTAACCGAGCTGGGTAATGGTTCCAGTACTCTTCCGGGTTGGTTATCGGAAGATTTCCGGCCTCCCTTGCAAATAGAAAATGATATTTTCTTGAGAAGAGGAGGAGAGAGCAGACTACGGACGTCAGAGCACATTCTACCCAATGAGCGCATGGGAAAAGCTGCACGAGTAGGGTTCCCATAGCCTTCCGCCAGACGCTGGATGTCAGAGCTCGTTCTACAACTAGATCTAGAGATGAAATTCGGAGGGAAAATTGCAACCAAAAAAAAAAAAAAAAAAAAAAAGGCAACCACACCCGTCTCACCAAAACAAAACAAAGGAGAAGAAAAGAGGGAATCACATTATCACACCCGTTTCGGTACCCACCGGTCCGCTGTGGCATTTCCCGCGGCAGTGACTTGGCCCCACAAAAAAGGGACAACCAACAGGAAAGGGAAGCGCTATGACCACGACAAACAGCGAAGAAGAAGCCGCAGGAGGAGGAGGAGGAGGTCGGTGTTTCAACGGCATGAGGTCGGCTGCGCTGTCCAAGAAGAAGAAGAGCAGCAGGAGGAGGAGGAGGAATGACGAAGGCGAAGGAGGAGGAGGAGGAGGAATGACGAACGCGGAGGAGGAGGAGGAGGAGGAGGAGGAGGAGGAAGAAGAGGAGGGATACAACTCTGTGGTGCGACCAACTTCACAGTCCAAGACAAAGAAAAGCCAGCAACTCGCTCTCATGTGCTAACGACATTTGTCAGCCTCTCCGTGCTTCACAACTGGTTTGACTCCCGCCTTGAGAGTCGCACATCGGCAGTCGCACATTTAATACAACATTATTCGCCTTGAGAGTCGCACATACGAGGGGCATTTTTTGCAACATGACAATATATTCTAGATATAACGTTGAATGATTATGTAGGCGCGTTTGAATATCAGCTCATTTCTCCGACACATCTTACACCACACCTCCCACAAACGTGAGGATCGACCAAGCAGCATTACTGCCATTTCCGACCCCCGCCATAACACCAATGAAGCCTTATTACAGCAATACTTCAATAATACTACGTTAAACTCACGATACGAGCCTGGCCGCCACGTGTACCACAGTACCAAACCTTGCCGTCAGGCTGACCACAGCGCATCACCTCCCACATTAAATTTTTTTTCCGATTCCAGAAACACGTGTTTGCAAGCCTGCGCCCTTCTTCATGGATTTGGTTGTTGTTTCATCCATTGCCGCCAGGTCATGGATGTGTTCAAAAAGCAGCTTGAGAGTAGAACACGTGTTTGCAAGCCTGCGCTGTATTCCAGAGGAGTGGTTAGTGCCAACGTAGTGGAGTCAAGGGTCTGACCGACTCTGACGTATGAGACAACCTCATCTAACATAAGACACAGACAGCTCCAGTCGGGCTGAGTCAGCGACACTGACATGATGAGTAATCAGTACACTGACATGATGAGTAATCAGCGACACTGACATGATGAGTAATCAGTATATAATGATGACGGCGATGAAAGGCGGAGCCTCTCACGTCGTTTGCGCTTTATGTTTTAAAAAAAAATCTCAGTTGAAAATTGCGCGGCCTATTCGGGGAAAGAGAGGGCAGCAATGTACGCAACCTGTTTTCATCGCGCATGGTCCTGGACTCGGCCTCCGTCAGGTCATCAGTGAATGAACACGCATGGTATAATAGCTGAATGCGGCAGGTCTGATTGACCAGCGTCATACTCCATGGTGGTTGTCGTCAGTGAAGATACTTACTTCCACTGTGAACTTTTCCTGATGCTCTTCCCCCTCCTCATACCGTTCCCGCTCTTCCTCCTCCTCATGCAATTCCTCCTCCGCATGCTCTTCAAGCTCTTCCTCCTCCCCATGCTCTTCCTCCGAATTCTCTTTCCGCTCTTCCCTCTCCTCACGCTCTTCGCCCTAATCACGCTCTCCTTCCTCGTCAAGGTCGTTCACTCGATGTTCTCTTCCGCTTGCTCGTCCTCTTCCTCCTCCTCCTCTCTCTCTCTCTCTCTCTCTCTCTCTCTCTCTCTCTCTCTCTCTCTCTCTCTCTCTCTCTCTCTCTCTCTCTCTCCCTCTGTGTGTGTGTGGCGACAAAAGGTGAGGGCGAAGAAATCCACTAACCTGAGTCTCCAATCTTCGTGTTGCACGTACTCAGTCCAGTCGCCGCAAGTCTACTAATGTCTGTGTCTGTGTGTGTGTGTGCGCGTGTGTGTGAGTGTGTGCGTAAGTGTGTGTTTTTTATGTGTGTTTGTCTGATGCTTGCGTGTGTGCGTGATTGGTGTGTGCGCGTGTGACGGGCGTGTGTCTGTGATGGGCATGGCTGTAAGTGCGTCTCCATAGTGGAGTAGCATAGTCCAGCGTCCGTCCACTTTGTTCCCAAAACGTTAGTTGGAAATTGAGGCAGGAATACCAACGGGCCAAGCTCAGTTTCGCAAGCCCATGAACTGTTGAAATGCAGACCCCGCGCTCGTTCAGCACCGCGCTCTCGCCGCCTTCTCGCCGCACTCTCGCCGCGCTCCGCCGTCGCGGCGGAACGCTTTCAGAGACGGTCGCTCCGTGCGGCTACCGCGGTCCGCGGTCGATAACGCGTTGGGAAGAAGTGCAGATTGTCGGTGCTTTCAGGAATCCTCCATCGCCCTCGTCATGTCATGGTCCCTATGGCGCGTCCTCCTGCGGGGTACTGGTACCAGGAGGAGGGTGGACGATCCTGGACCGCTTTGTAGCTACTATGCCTTCACGTGAAGTTAACTACCACAGTACCAGCGCCTCGAACTGTTCTACCTGGACCGCTTGCTACCGACTTCGGCCTAACATAATGCACCCCGATAATGAATGTATAGAAAATATATCTTCGATCAGGTAGAGCCAAAATGAGGGGGCGGTGTGCTCCTGCGAGCTGGTCTGCCGTTTTCACATTACATACATTATTTACATTATTAGAATAGAATTGTTTTATTTTACATTATTAGAATTGTTAGTGAGTCAAACGACATTGACGAAGACGACAAGGTGGTCAACGTCAAAACACTGAGGTCAGGATCTGAGACATGCTTCATTAGATTGTACATGGGAGCTGGACTGATGCTGTCCACAAATAGATGGTAGGATATAAGGTAGAACACAATACTATAAAGAAGCATACTACTCGTGACAGGTGTCCGTCCTGGTGGGACAACCACAATCATGATAGGCACATAGCACAGAGTTCAGTGTAATTGCACAGTGATCCAGAAGGATTGACAGGATGCTGGGCCGGTTTCAGCCCGCCTCCCCCAGAGGTATACTAAACCTGCCACATTTGGCTTCTTTTCATAGATGATTGACTTACCGTGAGGGCACGGGTGCGCAGCCCGTGGTTTGTTTGTTGATGTTGTTTTTTTTTTTTTTTTTTTTTTTT